CCGGGGGGGGGGGGGGGGGGCTCTTAGCTATACAGCGTGTAGGCCATGGGTTGCCATATTATTCCACAGAAGTAACGAGCAAAAGTCTTTTGTTTAAAGCGAAAAATCCATCTTTTACAACTGTTACTGTTGTTATTCCGCACCTTAAAAACACCAGTCTTGTCACAGCCTTGTTCTCCTTTTGGCTCTATTGGCACACCCAAAGGTGAACAGGAAATGCATCAGAGCGTACTGTCTAGGGTATTCAAATACAAGTCTTTGGGTTCCGATCACCCCCAACGACCTGCGAAAAAAGCAAACCTATTGGAATCCGACTTGAACCGTGTATCTACCAAATTGGGTGAAACTTTTCTTTTTAAATTTTTTTTAGGGTCTCATATCGTGTTATTCACAACTATAATTAAAGCGTGTGCTATTGTACGGTATAAAAAGAACGCTCTGCACATAAGGTGAGTGTTAGTATTATGGGTTGTAGGTCCCTTTCCAAACTTCACGGTAGTTTGAAAAGCCGGACCTCCAAATAAAAATGCAACATCAATCTCCGATAGGACTGAGCTGAATTGGCTGAGAACTTTGACAATTCCACAAAACGAGCCCAGTTCAAGAATATCCACTTTGGGATTCGAACCAGGGCTATTCGTATCGTAGTCCAGCAAGAAACCAACTAAGCTGACTGAGCGCCTATTCTAAACATAGTTGTTTGCACTTCTATTAGAGAATAAGACAGACATTACGCTTTTCCCCCTCCCTTTTTCTGAAAATCAGTGTCGCGCACAGACATTACGGTTATTTTAGCGCCCCCCCCCCATCACCCCCTTCTCTCTCTTTCTGACTCTCTCTGCTTCTCTCTCTCTCTCTCTATCTTTGTCTCTGTCTGTCTGTCTGTCTGTCTCTCTCTCTTATATATTTTCTCTCTCTTTCTCTCTCTCTCTGTCTCTCTCTCTCTGTCTCTCTCCCCCCCTCTCTCTCTGTCTCTTTCCCTGTCTCTGTCTGTCAGCCTGTCTGTTTGTCTGTCTCATTCTCTTTCTGTCTGTCTGTCTCTCTGTCTCACAGTCTCTGTTTCTGTCTCTGTCTCTGTCTGTCTGTCTGTCTGTCTGTCTGTCTCTCTCTCTCTCTCTCTCTCT